GAGACGGACCAGGTTTTTATTTTAAGTAGATTAGAAGTTATAATTGCATAAAGAGTTGCAAAATTAGAGATCCTCTAGGTAATACTGGTATCATCAGCAAAAAGAAAAAATTTTCCAACGATTTTTAAGCTAGTAATGTCATTTATAAAGATAAAACTTATTTTTTCGTGTCTGGATCCGACTTCAGTTTTTCTGTCCAATATCGGGCTACGTCTACACCCTTTGTATTTGCAAGCCATAAATTATCGAGGGTGCATTGTGATGGGCAAAATCTGCATAATCTCAGGTGCTCCATGTTTTGTATTTTCTCACATTCACAAAGTGCGTCACTATCTGTCTTGATGCACCATTTAATGAGGTTCTGTTTTATAGGGACAACACCTGTACGTATGCGGTTGAGTGTCCGCCAGGTTCATTCCATTAGATCGTTCTAGATGTAGGGGAATAGTTTGGGTGGTTCGACGCTGAGATTTCTCATAAACCTTTTCCTTGATTTAAGTCAGCTGATTCCTGGCGGTTTGTCAAACCCTTATAATTGGTGCCTTTCATCGAATGTTTGCCTGAACTTCTCCACATATTATGAGGCGCATCTACAGTCGTAGGGTGATGCGAATCCAGCTAACCGGTCCAGTAGGGGAGAGGGGTAGGCTTCATACATACGGTAATTATTCTACATGTTTTATTTAACGCCTTGGTGACTTGTTAGGAGTATCTAGATCTACCCCAGACGGGACAAGCATATTCCCCTGTTGAGAAACATAAGACCTCAGTTGTTGACTTTAAGACCTGGGGCTTTGTACCCCACTTGCTCCCTAGTTTCCAGAGAAGGTTATGTTTCATAGAAAACCTTTTGTCTTGTGCTCTGATAGTGGAATTTATATGTTAGTGACCGGTCTAGTATCACTCCAAGATATGTGGGCCTATCAGTATGTTTCAAGCGTTGTCCCTCCCAAGAAACATTCAGTTTTATTTGCGCCAGTTGGTTGTTGAGATGGAAAGCACATACTTTGGTTTTAGTAGGACTTGGCTTTAATGAGTTTTGTTTGTAGTAAGTTCACATCATGTTTTATTTGCTATCAGCTAAGAACTCGGGTTCAATCCTTAGTCCAAGACAAGACGAACTCACTCTTGAGATACTGAGCTAGGCAAGGTATAGACGATAAGCTTCCATGGTTGATTGAGGTATTATTTTTCCAATAGTACATCAATTCCTTTTGGTAGTCTTATCGTTACACATTGGCCAATGTTGTAACGTCAAGTAATATCGATACACTTTATTTTTTTTAATCATTCACATTTGTCTCAACCATTCTCCCACCTCCCAGTTCACTACACACAATCATCCCCTTACTCACCTCACCATACATCCTCCATAGAGACATCTTATAAAATCCATAAGATCCACATTCTCTCTCGGTGCCTATATATATCAACGTACTACCTCTCTCTCTTCGTCTCTCCGCCACTAATGCTCTGCTCTCCTAGCCATAATAAAAATATCAACATATGATAAATACACATACCCACACCTATTGTAAACGCCTGACATTGATCTTACATCACAATATTCCAACAAACTCACTGTATCTCTGCGCTGACCTGTCACCCACAACAATACTCTCTCCTCCCCACGCACCCATATCACTTGCACACTAAGATACCACGTAAATATTATACTTCTCCCCGTCCATTAAACCACTATACACCTTCTCAAAAAATCAACTACTCATCACATCTATACCCTCCCTCAATATCACACACCGACATAATACTTCACCACCTATCTGATCCCAGAATCTCCACTCACAATAGCTCCCTAACACCAACTTCATGCACTTCGACCTCATTACAGCACGCACTTCCCTTTTAAATCTAATAATTCTCCACCAAAATCCATTTTTTTCAAACATCTCATTATCTTTTTATATGTGTAACACACATTAACTACTCTTAGCAATACCACCCCACAACACGTCTGTCATAACTTGTCACACTACACATTTCTACTGTTCCTCATGTGTAGCAATGTCCATCACAATATTAATTATATATCCCATAGTGTATCTAGATCTACATCCATGATATGACCTACATCTCAATGCTCCAATTAACCTTCCATGTACCACATTAATACCCAACTCACGTGACACACTCACATAAAGTAAACCCTATATACACCTACACTACTACCATCCCCCACCACCACCCACAAATCGTCCCCAACGTCAACAAACCCCCCGTTACCTTCAAATCACTGCCCCGTGTCATCCATAACCAGTTACTCCACCAAACCCCTTATAATCCCACATAAACACATTTACCCTCATACTTACCCCCATTCACCTGTAACATCTCCCTACTCACAACCTCACCGTCACTCGCTGACAAACCTCCCATCCCTAAACAACCACTCAGTATCGAATCACAATCCTCCCACACCACAAAAACTATGCAACGTCTAATGACACCCACATAGAATCTCCCAACTACGAACCCATAAGCCTTGTCTCTCACCCAGATCACCCGACAACCCCTAAAATATTCCCCTAGGAACTCACTCACAAGCTACATGTCTCTCACAATATAATCTCCACACCCACCTCCACATCCCACAGACCAACCTACCCACTAATACCACACATCACCCACCAACCACACCTTCCACACATCCCCCCCCCACCACACACACCCTAACATACACTCCGAACAAAATTACACACCACCTACCCCCATATCCACACCACACTCCCAACCCCTTAACCACCCCCTACACAACCCCCACCCCCCCACCCCCACCCACCCCCCACCCACCCCCAACCCCCACAACACCCCCCCCCCCACCACCACCAACCCACACACACCCCCCCCCCCAACCCATATCACACACACACACACACATACTCATACACTACATACAAAACCCCCCCACCCACAACACCCCCCCCCCCCCCCCCCCCAACACAAACAAATATATAATAATACATAACATACCATACATACATACATAAAAATACTACAAACCCCCCAACCCCCACCCCACCCCCCCCCCCCCCCCCCCCCCCCCCCCCCCCCACCCCCCCCCCCCCCCCCCTCAACTATCACATATTATACAATAATCATAATAACCCCCCCCCCCCCCCCCCCCCCACCACCCAATCACATACAATCTCCACCCCCCCCACCCACCCACCCCCCCCCCCCCACCCCCACTATCTCTCTCCTCTATATGATACTTATATACCCCACCAACACACCCACCCCACCTATATCTATCTATATCCCCCCCCCCCCACCCACCCAACCCCCCCCCACACCAACTCCTCACACCCACCCCCCACCACACCCCCCCCCTCCAGTAACCCACCCCACACCAACACACCCCCACCACCACCCACCCCTCCCAACCTTCACACACTACCACTCATCCCACCTACCACTAAATCCATAACTCTACACCCCTACTCTAAATAACAACTCAACCCACCCTCACCCCAACACCCAGAGAAGAGATAGGATAGATATATTAATCATTACACACCTAATCAGAATGTGCCCGTCAAGACACACACACGGTTCCATGAACTTCCTGAGTCGTCCGAGTGAAGGCCATGCTATATCCTCACGAGTCTAAACTACATATGGTAAGCATAGCTTGGCAACTAAACGCACTTAATCTCGCACGACGACTCTCGAAGACGCATTGTCTATATAAGTATATACTGTGAAGTTCTGTTTAGAGAGACACTAAGATTCCAACCGTAGCCGGCTAAATTCTCAACTATTGACTAAGATTTGTCTGTTAGTATATCCTAACAAGTTGCTTGCTAAGCATATCTCATAACCTGTTTGTTTGACAATCTTACTGCTTGATATTATATAAAAAAACTACTAACATTCATGGGATAGTTCTCAGCTCCCACTCTCTTTCTATTGCCCATCGAGAGGTCACCTCTGTACATCTCAGTGAAGATAGTATATAAAATTACGATTGTCTCATAATCTTCCAACTTCACTTGCCAGCTTCCAAATACTCACACATCTCAAACCCGTGTAGTATACTCGATCAAGTATACATAAACACTTCATGATATTTCTACTATTGTATAACAAAGTCTCGTTGTCAATAGCACCACACGTTACCGACGTGTTAACATCACAAGACATCCCTATAGAGTGTGTACCCTAGACATCTCCTCTAGTTCTCCAGGGAAGATTATAAGCTAATCCGCATAGTCCTGGCATAATTCGACCAGTAGATATCCGTATATCGCGCTAGCCTAGACATTCCCACTCCTAACCATCACCATAAACAGCATACTTCGCCGCCTATCAGAGCACAGTGCGATTATTATGATACGCTAAACTCGCCACGAATGCGCATTAGTTTGAAGTTTGTGTAGTTACTAAACTACTTGATCTATCCACTCTGTTTACACTATCTCCTATACTCTCCATGACCTTAGGCTTATCTCTCTTACTATGGAGCCAAACGTTCTACAACAACATCTCATCCACAATCTTCTAATATAGGTAGAGTCTGCCATTACTAACACGACCGTCTCTACGCACGCTATGAGAGAATTCACACTAACATCCATCTCCTTCCGCCTCCTCTCTCTCTATTCATTGAATAGGTCTGGCTAATACGATCACAACATTGATCCTCACTGGCGCTTTTCCGCACTCTAGTCTCCAACTCTACGACCGCTCACACTGCTACGAGCGCGTATGAATAAAGTTTTATGATTAATTCCTCTGCACGGTTCCAGTGCCGCCGCTGTGACTAGAAAGAAGTGACACTCCTCTTTAGGTGAGCGTATTCCTCACTGCGCGTGCAATTACGGTGAAATCACGTTTCTGTTAGCTCAAAGAAACTTTTAGGTTTTTGTTTAATATTTGGGTAAGTTTAATTAAAATATTATTGTTTAGGTTAATTGTTAATTTTAATTTGAATTTTTAATAAAATGGATTCGCGTAAAGAACGTTAATTACTTCAGTAGCTTGCTGAAATTGAATATGAAGAAAACAGCGAAAGTTTGGAAAACCTCGATGATAGTGAAGGAAGTGAATTTGATGAGGTAGAGATACAAAATTATAACACGGATAGTGAAATGTCGGCGAGTTCTGAAGATGAGGGGGACTATATTCCTTGCCTCCCCGTTAGTATATCACGTAGTCCTACGTAGTTAGGTATGAAGGTTATCTAAATACTTGATTATAGACTTGTTCCGATAACATTGTTTAATTTTAGTTAAAGATAATCAAACCGTTTGGAAGATCCATCGCGAAAATCGTTATTCTAAAACTCTAGTTAGGAATATCCTTATCAAAAAACGTGGAGTAAAAGGTTCCGCAGAGCAAAAGAAAATTTCCAAAATGTGTAAGAAAAGTGCTCATGTAAGTGTAAATGACTTATGGGCTGCGGGTGGGCCAGTAATATTCAGAATAACATGGAGGAAAAATCGGTTTTGTCTTCTACTAAGGGCACACCAATTTGATGATTATAGCAACAGAGAAGAGCGTAGGAAAACGGACAAACTACGTGTGCTACAATTGATGAAATGCTGGAAGCCTTTCGTGGGAAATGTGCATTTAGGCAATATATTCCTAGTAAGCCAGCGCAGTATGGCATTAAAATATATTCACTGGATGATGCGGAAAACTGACACACTAGTAACTTGGAGGTGTATGTAGGTAAGTAGCCAAATGGCCCATTTCATCAAGATAATAGTTCGGCAGCACTTGTGAAACGTTTGATAAAACCTATTGCTAATACAGGTCGTAATATTACATGCGACAATTTCTTCACTTCAGTCCCACTGGCAATAGACCTACTAAATAATATGCGGACTACATTAGTGGGAACTCTAAGAAAAATCAAGTGTGAGATACCAACAATTTTTCTCGCTACGAAAGAAAGAAACGAAAATACGTCTATGTTTGCTTTTGGCAAAGAATGCTTACTTACCTCCTACGTACCAAAGAAAAATAAAAATATTTTAGTTTTGTCGACTTTGCACGATCAAAATATTATCGACCATAAAACAGGTAATGCTAGAAAACCTGAAGTGTTAACATTTTACAACCAAACCAAATCTGGTGTAGATATGATCGACAAATTAAAATCTTTATATTCAGTTTCAAGAATAAATTGTAGATGGCCGCTTACAATTTTCTTCAGCCTTTCAAATATTGGTGGCATAAACTGTCATATTATTTACTATGAAAATACTAGTGTTGAATTACCACGACGTAAATTTTTAAAAGATCTGGCTTTAGAACTGATTAGACCATATCAAATGTTACGAATGAACATAATAACTCTCCCTGTATTGTTACGAATGCAAATAAGGGACCATTTGGGAATTCGAGATGAATCAGAGCCTGTAGAAATGTAACAAGTATCTAATAAATGTGCATACTGTCCTAAAAAGAAGAACCTAAAAACTCAGACAAAATGCGGTAAGCCAAATTGTAGAAGACCGATTTCTAAGGAACACACAAAAAACTTTGTGTAATTCCTGTTGGGAGATAGAAGAAAAAGAATCTGAGTAGATGCATTTATTATTTTTAGATGTATGCAATATTTTTAAAACTTTTAATTTGTGTATTATTAACTTATCTTCTTTTGTCTATTAACATATTATTTTTGCTTTATGTATTTAACATTTTTGTATGTATTGTATGTATTTAATACTTTTGATCTATATTATTTTATCACATTTTTTTTGTTAAATTAATACAAAAAATTGACTTATATGACTTTCTATAATATGTGAGTATAAACCATTTGAATTTTATACATATTGAAATTCATTCTTCCTCGAAATAAGTCGAATTGATGTAGGTGAGGGCGATGCTTATACGCGTGCAACCAGATCACAATCGAAGACGCGTGTAACGGCAAGTTAAAAAAAAACTTAAATCGGCAGGAAATACATTTTACATTACATATATATATATATATATATATATATATATATATATATATAAATTATGAATTATGATTTTTGAGGATGCAGTCAGTTTATTTGGCCCACAAGACAAAGAATACCACCATCTTATATATATATATATATATATATATATATTTATATATATATATATATATATATATATATATATATATATATATATATATATATATATCCGGTTTTTTTTAGGCGTTACGCCCGTCCGGTAGGGATCTATGGAGGAGGTATCACCGAGCCGAAAGCCCTTATCTCTTGCCGTACTGCTCCACCATAGGCCGATCAGACCCAGCATATTCTAGTCTAAGCCGCAGATTCATCTAGAATTTTAAACTGCTGCGTTAGACTTTTTGTTTTCTGTACACCGAGCTGGGGCTCGATCCCACATCCACTAAACCATTCGACAGTGAAACGAATGAGAGGCAGCCGCACAGCCCGCTGAGCTATCTGACCGACCATTTTACATTACAACAACGTTTAAAACAACAAACATATCGAGATCTATTTTATCTAAAACTCAATCTAAGAATAAACAAAAACAAACAAAAAATTGTATTGAAACACCTTGTAAATATGAGTTTGTAAAAACAAGTTTCAGTGTTTAAATACAATAAACCCATCCTTTTGCTATAAAAAATATTCAGTTATTAGCAGCACTTACCATGCCATTTTTTCTTAACATATTTATTCCATTTTCATACCGGCCCTATAAAAACTAAAAGGGATAAAAAATACCCACCCACGAAATATAAGCTATCGCTCTTCTTCACGTCGGAAACTTCCCTAAATGTTTTAAGGAAATTGAAAAGCTTCGGCAGGAGTATAGCCATAAACCAAAAGGATTAAACGGCCCTATTCGTGGTAGTTTGTTTAAAAAGTTCTCTCGAATTCATGTATTAGTGCTCGGAATGTAGAGCCTCGAGTTTATTTTTGTGTGTGAGGAGAATATTAAATAAGGTATTAGGTTTGCTCTATAAAAATTGGTGGAGTTTTCCTAAAAATAAAGAATGAGTGCCATTTTTTCATACGAACTCTATCTCATTAGATGGATACAATGTGTTAAGGATTACGTTATTTGCATAATCTTGTTTTGGGCCTGTTTTCCTAGAGAAATATCAAGTAGTAGCATGTTAAAAAACTAAAAACTATTTAATACAAATTTTCAGCAATACATTATCTACAATCCATGCAAAATTGTAAACAAATACGTCCAAACTACTCAAAAAAATGGGACGAAAATGATGTTCACGTAAGCAAGAGTTTATAGTTTGTTTATTTAACTACTTAGCAAATATAAATATTGTTTGTATCAAGTTAATAATATATAGCATATAAAAAAGAAAATATAAAACATAACTTAAATGTATCACAAACAAGAACACATATTAACCAGAAAATGATTTTATGGGAAACTCACGGTAAGCAGTTCAGTGGATGTTCTACAATGAGTCATATATTTTTCCGAGCAGTAAAAGCAATATTTCAGAAGATAATTTATCTTTTTAGAAACTATTACAGCTTAGCTGTTTAATACTTTTTTTTTTAAATATTGTAATAGTTATAATTAAGGCAATTTTTATCTGAAAGACGCAATCTACAGCAATTTGTTCGTAAGTAGTGAGAGTTTCGCATATTGTGAACGTGAACATCAAACTTCATCATTTTGAATGTGATTAAGAAAGGTCGGTTAGTTCCTTAGTACAACCCCTGTCAAACATAATATCTATGCGGATAATCTAGTTATTTACTGTTAGGGTAAAGTAACAAGCTCCACTAGCACTCTTTTGCAAAATACTATTGATAACATCTCTCACTGGTCTAACAAAATTGATTTCAGCTTCTCGCCTACAAAGTCTAAAGTGATTAACTTTAGCAAAAAATATAAATAAACTCTTACAATCATAAAATTAAAAGAGCATCCACTTCAAGTAGTTGAAAATCACAACATTTTAGGGGTAATTTTTGACAAAGAATTGACATGGAAGAGACATATAGAAAAAACTAAATAAAGTGCTTTAAAAAATATAAATCTCTTAAAATCGCTATCCAATCGACAATGGGGAGCCGAAGAAGAGGTGTTATGAATTTTATACGAGCTCTAATAAGATCTAAGTTAGACTACGGATCTATATTATGTATGTCTGTCCTTAAAACTTATTTAAAATCACTAGATACAATTCAAAACACTTCATTAAGAATATGTCTTGGAGCCTTCAGATCTAGCCCTACAGAAAGCATATATGTCGAATCATGTGAACCCCCTCTAAATATTAGAAGACAACGTCTATTAAACTCTTATTTTGCTAAGGTTTCTGCAAACCCAAATAATATATCTTTCCAACTTATTAAAAATTTTCAATTAACAGGAGTACACACTAGAGCTACTGCTAATTCATCACTACAGTTTCTATTGCCACTCTTAGAAAATATTGACCTAAATTTCACCACCCCCAATACTCCACCTTATCTAAAAATATTACCTGACTTTAACGTAAATTTGTGCAGATATAAGAAAATGGAAACCTCCACGATGCTCATGAAACAAACGTTTAAAGACATAATTATTAGAGGCAAGTTTGATAACATAATATTCACAGATGCATCTAAAGATGAAGAAAGTGTCGGATGTGCTGTTAACTTCCACAAATAACATACTAGCAATGTATAGACTACCCAAGATGACCACTATATTCACAGCAGAACTCTACGCTTTACTTAAAGCTCTGGAGGTTTATTTATTTAATGTAGAAAAAGCTAGCAAATATTCGAAACTATTTTTTATGTTTTACATAATAATTGAATTTAAAACGTTATCTACCTCAATGTGGCAAAATCAATGAAACAGGTGCACTGCCCAACTAAAGTCCATCCAACCAAACATTTTAGGACCTAAAATTGTTACAATGGAAAGAAAATCGAAGACCATCATTAAAAGGTTCAGAATTGGGCACATCCGGCTAACCCACGAATATCTGATGGTTCCTGAAGAACCTCCAAGCTGCCAATATTGCAACTCCCGTCGAAGTGTACACCATGTACTTGTGGAATGTAACCAGTACGCAGCAGGATGGATCAAACATGGTCTCCACGGAAGTTTATGTGATACTTTAAAATCTAAAAACATGTCTAATTTTCTAGGGGTATCTTTATGCGTACAATAAGTGGATAAAGTTCTTTAATTTGACCCGGTCAAATACGTTTCTAAGGTCTACGAA